ACACACAAGTGTTTGCTGGAAAATTCACTCTTCATAAAATCTAGAAAATAACGTTGAACTAAGGTTATATTTATAGCCTTTACATGACTAAGGGGTTGCTTCGTTAAAGGATTTGGGAATCACATAAAGGAATGAACCTCTTATTTATTGCTTGGGTTAAGTCTATTAGAATGCAAATTTTGGAATCATTTTTAAAAAATCAGAGTTATCCCATTTCCAAGCAAATTGGGAGGTTTTGGACAAAACCCTCAACTTATTCACTCAGACAACATTTATAACGGGTCTACCCTTTCTTTCTCTCCATCACATGCTTTACCTTCTGTTCTTCTTCTTCGTTAGATTACCTATCTCTTCTTCTTCATCATATAGTCTTCATCTGTAATCCAAAATATCTTGAAAAAAAAAAGATCTAAATGGATTAATAGTGAGCAAATATCTTCAGCGAGAAATTGTTCAACAAGATCTCCACCAGAAAGATCTCTAAGAAAAATTGAAGAAAACTCACAACCCAAATCCATGGGATTTGTGATTTTTGCTTCAGGGGTCTTGTTCAGTGCAGGAAGGATGACTTGTTGTGAATTAATTGTGAGATTTTAGTACGAATTGTTTTTGTATATTAAGAACCTGCTCAGTATATTAAGAACCTCAACCCAAAGATCTTCGCTTCAGGGGTCTTGCACAGTGCAGGAAGGATGACTTGCTGTGAATTAATTGTGAGATTTTATCACGAATTTTCTTTGTAAATTAAGAACCTGCTCAGTAACATTTGAACATAGTTGCGGTTGGCATATTAATAAAACTTTATAGTTAATCATTTCATGCAAGGTTTGATCTTTTGTGAAATCTTTTTCGTTCTGGTGGGTGGGATGGAAGAAGTAGGGAGTCAAAAGTTGATGGTGATAGAGACAGTGACATTGTAACCCTTCATTCTAAAACTATAAAGAGCTGGTGTTTTATTGGAGAACGGGCTTATTTTTATTTTATCCGATAAATAAATTTGTTTATGGGAAAATGGGTACTCTGTTCTTATAATGGAGGAAAGACATAAAGAACTAGTATTTTATTGGAAAACGGGTTTATTTTTATTTTATCCTATAAATAAATTTATTTATGGGAAAATAGGTACTTTGTTCTTATAATGGAGGAAACCTATAAAGAGCTGGTCTTTTATGGGAAAATATGACTTTTGTGAAAGTGGCCGCAATTTGGTTTATGAAATTATTCCAAAAAAAAAATTTAGAATGAATTTGTTTGTTTTGAAAGTTGTATAACGGTCGTTAAACTTCAAATATCCCTTTCTTAAACTTCAAAATCTACAAAGTCTCATATTTTTGTTAAATACAAAACTTACCAGTTTCTGCAATTATCTCTTTGTTTTATAAGAATTATTATATCAGGGTAAATTTGAAATTTAATTGCATTTAATTCCGAAACACTCATCAAACCAAGCATCAGGAATTGGAATAATGCTAATTCCAATGTGTGAACCAAGTTAGATATTGGAATGAAAAGTTTAATTATAAAACCAGAGTCTTTAATTCCATTTCCATTTCCGATTCCAATATGTGAAACAAGCACCCCCTAATTATCCTAATCAAATTTGGAAACAAGTAATGGCTTTCCTAAATCCTAACTTGACTAAATTAGGAAACTAACTAACTTAAATGGGCTCAATAATGGTCCACATGACCTGATCTTTATTGCCTAATTCAAATGACTAAATTAACTCTTAAACTAACTCTAATTAACAACTAATAATGCTGGAAATGATCTAAACAAAGACAACATGAAGTAAGCTTAAAGCAGGTTCGGATCTTCAATGAACTTGATCACTTGCTTTATGTGAAACTTGAGCATGCGAAATCTTAATGGACTAGAGTAGGAGAGGATTCGGATCATATCACCAGTTGTCATCTCTATGAAATTCATGAAATTCTGTGTTCTATCCTAGCTCTAATTACAATCTCAATTACCTCAAATTAGAACAGCTTTTGGTCACTTAACTATCTTTTGTGTCATATTCTCATTCAACTTCCAAAAATGTTGCATTTTGCGCAATTCTTCCATTTTGGACTGTTTAACTTGTGATTTGTGTCATATTTACTTTGTGATTAAAACTTTACAAACACAAACCTTAATACCACTTAATATTAAAATATCATCAATGCAACTTTGACTAATATTTGAATGAAACATATCATTCTATGAGTCTACAAGCTCCAAATAAACAATTGCTTATAAAAGGGAAATAACGAACTTTCTTTTTCCAACATAAACACATTAATCCTAATTCTAATAGATCACTTGCTTAGCTATGTCCTTTCATCATACTCTTGTAACCTCTACAATGATTAGCTCTTAGTCATCATTTAGAGAAAAATATAAAACAGCATGGGGTGAGCAAACATATGCCCAATGAATAGCAATCTCCTCCTCTTCTGAATTATGCATATATACATTTCAAAAAGATTTAACACACTATCCACATGCAGCAATTTCATTCATGTGTAAAGCTTCAGTCATTTACGTGTACATGTAACATAAACATTGATGTTCCCACGATCAAATCTATGATTATAATGCAGAAAAACTTTTAACATGTCAGCAGCTCATAAACTAGCGCATGCATTCATCGCTCTTGAGCACTCAATCTAGCTTTAAACCCTGATTTTAAGAGGGCAGGTCAAGCAGTGCTTGTGGCCTTCACTTGGTTTGCATAAACATGATTATAAGATTAAGCTATTCGAATGAGCCACTTAATCATAAAATTAGGTCAATCTCATGTCAGTTCAAAGCCTAGTATGGTTATTAACATTTACCGATACAAATCGTGCATAACATGAATCTATCATAAAACATATGGTTTATCACAAAACATGACACTCTAGATGATCATAACATTTCAAAACTAAACACAATCATATATGATCTGCTTTTGCATAATTAAACAAATTAAGCAAAAATAATTCCTATTAAATAATTTTAGAAATCACAGAGGGATAAGAATTACTAATCTCTAATCCATGATGAAATACTTAATCGCTCACGTACTTTGCAGAATCCCCCATATCCTAAAAGTACATAACGTGGAATGCTTATTAATTACTTGATATAATGTAGTTTTTTTTTATCAGACTTTTGATGTAATGTAGTTACTATACTCAATTCTACTCTTCAGATGTCCCTAGTACATGTGGAACCTTTACAAACAAAATTTTACAATTTACAAAAATTAGAAATTTTCCAAAAATAGAATCTTTCCATATCTAGAAAGTTTTTCCAATTTGGCGGTACTAATTTTTAAAGATTACTAATTATGTAGACTCTAAAAGAACATAGCGGTCCTGACCATTGGGTTTCGGTCCAAGTCCAACTTGCCATCGATTTAATTAGTTATCATAATTCCATTTTTTTTATAATTGGACATTTTCCTTAAGATTTAGGTATCTAAAGATAATCCTTTAAAAAAAACCTGCTACAAATTTGTGCTAAACCATACATTATTATATTCAATTGGAATTTTTTAAAAAATATTCGATTGGAATTTGTGCCTTTTAATTTGGTTGCTTCTGGAACAATTGGGCTCAACTTATGTAATTGGCCCATGAATCAACGAAATTCAAAACCACTCTAACACCTAGTTTGGGAGATGAGATTTGAGCAGAAAAGAAAAGAATAGAAGATAAAGGCTGCATCTCCCATGTTTAAGAGTTTGAAGTGAAAAGGAAAGGAAAAGAAACCGACGGAATTAGAAAGAAGAAGAAACAGCTACACTTTAAAAAAAATTTCCGGCCCAAATCGGTCAGAAAGCAAAGGAAAGCACGGAAAGGCAGCAAAATTTTTTTAAATCACCCATTCTACCCCTAAAAAGCTATTGAATGAAATATTATTTACCTATGTATCCAAAATCACCCCATTTCTTTCATAAACTCCTAAACAACATTAAAATCTCTTCTCTTCTTTTCTTATCCTTTCTTTTCTCTCATAACTTAACCTTTCTCTTCTTTTCTTTTCTATCCTCAACTCACAAACTAGCCTAAAGGACCACAAATAAAATTTTCAAAATCCTTTGATTACCCTATCGTGGAAATCTTAAAGTTAACTCCAAATCAGTAATGATACGAATCAGTATTATTACCAGGACTAGCAGTACTCTAGCCTTTCATTTGGTACATAGGAATAACTTAAAATGGAAAGGTCTTTTCATCCAAAATTTTTTTCCTGCCAGAATGGATAAGAAACTATTTATTATTCGAGTGTAACTCAAGTCAAAATGGAATATGTGTTTCTTTTCCAATGTTTGGTATAACCATATATAGAAGGCATAATGGAATGAAAAAAATTACAATGTTGACTTAATTGCCCTAGATATAAAACATTTCTTCTCTATTTTGTTTGATACTACCATTCTAAGGTAAATAATACTAGTTTTCTTGTGTTTGATTTGAAACTACACTTCTGAGTAAGGGCGCATTCCATAGACATTTGATACAAAGATATATGACTTATTAATAAAAAAAATAACATTTTTAATTGCATAAAATTGCAATGGTTAAATACTAATTGGGCTAAACTAAATATTCAAATTCCATACTTATCAAATTGTGTGCATATCAATTCGCATGTGCTCTTGATTTCCTTCTGTCCCGTTCATAAAACTATGAGTGAATGGCCCAAAAGGTCACTAAACTATTAAAAATGGCACCCTCTGGTCACTAAACTTTTTTTGTGGCCGAAAAGGTCACTAAACTCGCAAAAACTCTCCAGCGAAGTCATTTTACCGAATTTCAGCGTTCCTCATCCGGTAACAGGTCAATATGGAGTGGAGGAATATAGTAAAGGGCAAAAATGTCAAACAAAATATGGTCAACCTTTTTTTCTCTCGCAAGTCGTGCCTTAGATCTAGAAATTAGCTGAGTCCTTTTCATTTGTTGAAAGACAAATCTTCTCTCATCTATTCAAGGAAAAATCTCCTTCCATTTCATCCTGTCCAATGACTCATGGCAAGACGCAATAAACCGATTCCATTCTGCAAGTGCGGAACTAGAACTATTTTGAAGACCTCATGGACAGAAAGAAATCCAGCGCGAAGATATATTGAATGTGCTCAAAATCAGGTAAGATAATTACTTAATGGATATTTGCGAGTTTACAAGATGGATAAAATGTAAATATTTGTTGCTGCAGGTTAGAGGGTGTGGATTTTGGGACTGGTATGATGAAGAAATTTGTGAGAGAGCTAAGCAAGTAATACCTGGCCTGTTAAGAAGTAAGAACAAATTAGAAGCTGAGAATGAAGCTCTGCAAAAGGAGGTTCGGGGATGGCAAAGCAAAGCAAACGAGATGGCACTGGAGATAAAAAGACTAAAGGAGCAATTGGAAAAAAAACAAAGGACAAGAAAGCTAGCAAAAAGTGTTTTTGTGATTGGGGTGGTTGTTACAGTGTGGTTAATATGGATGCATGAGCCAACAATGCCAAATTCGAAGAGGTTGCAAATTGCTAGTGTATGAAAGAAATGTTGCGAAATACTAGTTTGTAGAATGCAGAGATTTTGGATTGCTGGTATGTACAATGCAATTGTACTTAATGAAGCTAGTAATTGTGTTGACTTTGGATCTTTGAAAATGTTAATTATGAGTTCTGCTGTTGACTAATCAATTAATTTGACAAGAACAATAGCCCATTCCAATGATTAAGTAGTGAATGGCAAATAAAAGAGTCATTGCATTGGATCAGAATTGGTTGTATTACAATAGGTGGACAAAAGGTATGTTTGACTCCCACAAAATGGCAACAAAAACTATTACATTTTCCTGCCCAATGATCTACAAAAAGATTTACAAAAAGACTACAAAAGTTATTTAACAGTTTATCATTAAGTTGCACGTCCTCTTCCAAATGATCTTCCTGCCCAATTTCCAACCTTGAATGGTGGTTCTTTTCCCAAATATGCATAATTGGCATTGATCGCACCCTTTTCGGCATCCGTCAATTTTCTCTTTTTTTGGACCACCCTTTTCTGCGTATTATCAGTAGATGCAGCCGGACGAGGATCTTTTTGACTTGTTGTTGTTCTGGGAGCATCTGGTCGAGTTCGCCGGACCTGATCACAAAAACCAAATAACATTTCACTCAGTTATTCCAAGAACTACAATTACAATATTGTATAACAATAGTTAGAAAGGTTGATAGCTAACAGGGGTCTTTATCTTTCTAATTTGCCTCTTATTAGTTGGACTGGCAATCGTCCTCAACATCTCTGTTGGATTACTAGTGTCACCTTCGGCAGCAACATTTGCTCCTTCCATTGATTGTTGTGCACCTTCTAAAGTTGATGGCTGAACAGCAATATTATCATATTGTTGGAAAAAATTGCCAACTTCAACGTCAACATTTTCAGCATTCTGTTCACCAGATTCATGCATAACACTCTCTTCTCTAGATTTGGGAACAATCCTCTTCACTACAACCCGGAGCTACAAATTTGTTTGGTTGGCCAGTTGCATTTTGCTGTCTTAAATGCTCAGTTTCAGCACCATCTTGAGCTTTGCATGTAGCTCGATTATGACCTGCCAAACCACAGTTTCTACAATGCATAACAACATGTTTTTTCATTTTGTGGACAGTTGCATTTTGTGACCCAGAGTGGCTTCTATTCTCTGTAACATCTTTTCTTCTTGCCTTTCTAGGTCTTCCCGCTTGCACACATGGTATTGGGGGGCCTAACACCGGATTTGTACTAGTTGGCCAAAGTGCTTTTCCACTGATAGGGTAGAGGACATTCTCATAAATTTTTAAAAATAGTTCCCTGGAGTAACACCCATCAGTATACATGCACGGGTCCTCATTCATTCTATGAAGTGCTGCAATGGAATGGCAGCATGGCAGGCCACTAACTTGCCATAAATTACAAGTACATGTTCTTTCTTGTACATATACAGCATATTGTTCCCCTTTAGGCCCTTTGACTTGATAACCCCCATCACCATTTGCCACAGTTTTCCATTTCCTAGACTGTTTTGCCCTCTCTTCAATCAACTCCTTAATAGTTGGACCAACAGCACCAGGGCATTTTTTCATCCAAGCCGCCCTATCTCCTATTCTACCCATTAAATACTCCCTAATTCCTTCCATCATTCCAATAATAGGTAAATCCCTGTATTCTAATATTTTTGCATTAAACGTCTCACAGAGATTATTAACTAACATATCAGATTTAACATGATGAGGAAAGAATGCCTTACACCAATGCTGTGGTGGTGGTGCCCTTTTGACCCATGCATATGCAAGCTGGTCATACTCTTTCAAGTCATCAAGTTCTGCCTCATACAACTCAACAGTTGTAGCTGTTGCAATGCTCCATAGTCTATCTTTTAAAATCTGCCCAGGATGTTTTTTCTTGAAATTCTGTACATGTGTTGAACACAGAATCTGTGTTCACAATATGGAAGAAGTTCCAAAAGTGCACTATCAAGCCCCTACAATAACAAATTGTGAAAAATTGGTCAACTCTAATAAACCAAATAGTAACTAATATCAACAATAATGATAAGATATGAGTGCTTCACCTTTTGTTGGTCCGAAATAAATGTGTAATGACTGCTGGCAGTGGCTATTTGTAAGTCTTTAATCAATAAGCTCAGAAACCAATGCCACTGCTCTCTTGCCTCCTTTTCAACAACAGCCCAAGCAATGGGCCACCATCCATTATTGGGATCTGTCCCAATAGCTGTCAACAATTGTCCCGGATATGCTCCTTTTGTGTGACACCCATCAAGTGCTATAATGGGCCTACAACCCTCATTAAACCCCTTTTTGAGAGGTCCTAAACAGCAATAGAATCTGGTAAATGTAGGTCTCTCATCAGGATCATTTCTCGGATTGTATTGAATGTCAATTGTTGTATTTGGATGGGTCCTCTGTAATTCAGCAGCATATTCCCAAACAAAAGCATATTGTTCTGCTACACTTCCCTTAATATTCTTCCTAGCCTTAGTCCTTGCCTTGTAAGCCATACTTCTACTAATCTCACACTTATATTGTTCATCCACAGCCTGCCTAATTTGCTTTGCTGGCATATACATATTTGACTTTATTTGATCTTCATATCTGTTTGCCAGCCAAGAGGTAGACATGTGTTTATTTTTCCAGGCATGACTGCAATGATTGTGAACATCATTCAATGTCTTCAAAACAAAATCTGAGTTGTTCAATGCTGGAACTTTAGAAGCATACACAAACCACGGACAGGGTGCCACACATTTTGCCCTCAATCTAGATTTGTCATTTGTGTACATAAATACGGGTCTCCCAGTAAGAATCGAGTAATTCCTAATAGCTTCTCTAAACAGACCCTTACTTCCAAATTTCATACCAACCTCAAATTCAGGATTTTTCATAAACTTCTCCATATCAAAGTTAGTATAATTCATGTTTACCTCTTGGATTTCCTCGTCAGACGACCCATTATTGCTGTTGAGTTCCATCTCCATTCCATCATTCAAAAGTGGATTTTCATTGCTAGCATTGGTTGCCCGTGTTTGCTGTGTAGTTTGGGGGCCACGGTCTTCACTTTCCCGTGTAGTTTCAGCAGCTGTGACATCACCTTTCCATTTGCTGCTCAACCTAGAACTCCTCCTCAAATTTGTAATTTTTGATGCTTGAGTTCCTGCCTGGCTAGGTTGCTCACTTGGCTGCCTTTCACTATCTCCTTCGCCAATATCAATTTCATTTTCTAGCTGCCTTTCACTTGACTCAGCATGAGTTTCATGTGGTTGACCACATTGTGTTGGAGGCTGCTGCATACTTTGTGTTTCATACATTTCATCGTCCCGATAATAATCTGTGTATTGTTCAAATTCCCTCTCATCACATGTTCCATCCCCATCATCACACTCGCCTCCTTCTCCCTCATTTTCACCATCTCCAGAAGTTGAGTGCAAGCCTGCTGTAATTGTAGGTGCATCACCTTGGTCAATAGCTTCATGCACTGCTTTTTTTTTGTATAGTGCTATCCTTCCACTCTAAAGCAGCAAATGATCGTGTACGGAATCTACCCTTTTTCTTCACAGATTTACTATTACACGCATTCATTGTTTGACGTTCCTCCCCATCATCAATTTCCTCAACGATCACTGTAGACTTGTGCACATCCGGTGGCTCTACGATGGTCTTTGTTTGAATTTTTAACACCTCGTCATCTGGAACATGGTCGCATATCACTTCCATCAACTTGAACTGCTCCACCCAACTACAAAACTGTCTGATATGTTCGTCAGTTTGGAGTTCTTTCAATCCATTGTTGATATCACTTCTTGGATCAAGATAATAGTACAATATGACATCCTTGTTGTAGCCACACTCTTTCACCATATCATTAATCTCATGCATTGACATTCTATCACCATCACAAAGATCAAAATAGTCTACCTCTCCACCAACATAACTCTTATATTTATCCCCTTCAATTCTACCACCATGCCGCATCTTAACTGTAAATAATGAGCATCCATGCTCTGCATCACAAAGATCAAATAGTTGCAGGTATTGTTAATTGATAGATATCCAATCTTTTAATAAAAACTACAATCTGAAATTAATTTTTAAGTCTTCAATACAGGTTCATTTCTAATTCCCACACAAAACCTTAATATTATACGCAGTTAGTCAACAAATACAATAAATTCACATTTTTTCTGCCTAATTAATTTAGTTTAACGACATGCGAATGTAGGACCCCTTGTAACCTACTATGACGACAAAAGGGAGGACCATTCTCTCTTGTCCCTTTCATGCCCCCTTTGTTATATATAAAATAACCCATTAAACCCTAAAATCTTCGACATTTTTGCATTTCGTATTAACATTTTCAGACTTTGCACTATCTTTTACCAACATTCTTCTTCACCAAAATAAATTTTTTAATAACTTACCATACATCGTGTACGGGTCAGCATACTCATCCCTCGGTCGCTTCACCCACTTCATTGAAATCACCAGCTTCACAATTTCCTCGGCTACTCTTGTTTTTGAGATGGGTTTAGGCTGTAACTCGAAGAGGTTTGCTATTCTGATTTGGTTTACAGGTGGTCAAAGTCACTTTTTTTACTGCCGGAGAAGACGAAGTCAATCTATGGGTTCAAAAGTGGTTTGGGATTGAGACAATCTATGGCTTCACCTATTCCAATAATCTTTCGGACATTTTTGCCCCTTTACTATATTCCTCCACTCCATATTGACCCTGTTACCGGATGAGGAACCGCTGAAATTCGGTAAAATGACTTCGCTGGAGAGTTTTTGCGAGTTTAGTGACCTTTTCGGCCACAAAAAAAGTTTAGTGACCAGAGGGTGCCATTTTTAATAGTTTAGTGACCTTTTGGGCCATTCACTCTAAAACTATTTACCAATACAAAAGTATACTTGCGGCTTATTAGATGTCTAGTAGCATTTTTTTTCTTTTTTCTTCTATTTTGGAGGGTACATATGAATGTATATTGGCATGTTATTGCTT